GCCCAGCCGCTCCGCGGCATGTGGGATCTTCCCGGACCGGGGCACGAACCCATGTCCCCTGCATCGGCAGGCGGACTCTCAACCACTGCGCCACCAGGGAAGCCCCTTGCTTTATATTCTTTACTTCCTTCTCTTTCGGATAAATTTGTTCCAGTGTTTGGCATTAAATCATCCAGGTCATCTTAGATTTCCTGGGGTTTTTTTTCTTTTTTAGATGGAACTTCCCTTGGTCAAAATATGATGTGGCCACAACATCCAAAGCAGAAGCCAGAGTCTTTTCAAAACACCAGTTGGCGTGTGAGTGAATGGGATCTCTTAGATTATCAGGGGCCTTGGTTCTGGCCCCAGCTACCTACTTCTTGATCATGTCAGAGCATGCGTTTCCTTTCCGTTTGAATTTTCAGTGAACCCATGAAAGCAATGTATGGATTTCCACCAAATTAATCACAATGTCTTGCTCTTGAATAAAAAGCTCAATTTAACCTAATATTTAGTAGTACGCATTGGCGGTGTGAGAGAGGTGGTGATTATAGATCCAGACCTCTGATACAAGGCATTTCATTCTAGAATTGTCTTCAGAAACAGCTATTCAGTGAGTACTGGCTTCAGATTTTACCACTCCCTTGTCAAGGTCACAGCCTTGCTTTCGTTATCAAAATACAGGCCTTTGGGGCATGAATATGATCCACTGAATTCTCTATTGTCACCAGACACAGATTACATGACTTTCAGAACATGCAAAAGAAGCTTTCATTAGAAAAGAAAAGAAAAGCTTTCACGATCACCTTTGATATATAACAAAATAGAGATGTTTTCGGACATGGTATGTTGCCTTCTATTCTGCATCCAAAACATGAAGCCGACCCTAAGAAAACTGGGATGATGCCTTTTCTTAGCCTCCATGCACACTCTTTGAACTAAGCTTTACTTTCATGTTTCATACTGTATCCATTGAAGACTTTTCAGAGGTTTTCAGAGAAATATTATTTGATCTGAGAATATCTAAAAATGGGTGGTACCTATTTGCCCAAGTGTGTGCCTGTAAGCTCCTGGATTTTATCCTTGACACAGCTATTGAAACACCTCGCCTGGATCCTGAGATGTTGTTGAACGCGGCTGAATGTCGGTGTTGAGCAAACAAATCCTAGTTATGTCTGCGAATGAGTTGTGTCTATTTAAATTGAAAATATGCCAGCTGTGTTTACATCATTACTACCAAACTTCCCAATTAAACTGTTGATACTATAAATATAGTACACAACTGCCTTAGGAAGGGGGCTTACATCAGCATTCTTCTTATGGCTTGTTTCACTGGCTTAGAGGATCTTCCATCCAGTGGCAACTGCCAAAGAGGCAAACGTCGGGGACCATTTCAGGGCATATGGTGCCATTGTTCCATTTAGGGAATGACACATGTGAAGATTACTTTTTCATTGGTTCTGTCTCAACCAGATCTTTTTTTTTTTTTTTTTTATAATATTCTTTTTTCTTTAAACCCCACATTTGTTTATTTATTTATTTTTGGCTGTGTTGGGTCTTCGTTTCTGTGCGAGGGCTTTCTCTAGTTGCGGCAAGCGGGGGCCACTCTTCATCGCGGTGCGTGGGCCTCTCGCCATTGTGGCCTCTCTCGTTGCGGAGCACAGGCTCCAGACACGCAGGCTCAGTAGTTGTGGCTCACGGGCCCAGTCGCCCCACGGCATGTGGGATCTTCCCAGACCAGGGCTCGAACCCGTGTCCCCTGCATTAGCAGGCAGACTCTCAACCACTGCGCCACCGGGGAAGCCCCAGATCATATTTTAAAGAAAATGTTTTTGTGTTGACTGCTTAGAGAATGTTCCATGGATGACATTTGCTTCGTGGTTTTAGAGGAAGTCCTTTTCAAGCTTCTCTATCCATAAATATGTGTGCTTCCAGCCTCTTAGGCCTGAAATAAATATGATAGCATCTGTCTGGACTGAATATTCTAAGGAGGTTATATCAGAATTATGGCTTCTGAGGAGTTCACAAAGCTGGAGGACTTTTTAACTATGAAATTCACTTCACCTTTCAATGGCAAATCCTGCATTTCCCAAATCTGAAAATTATCTTCTATTTTTAATGATTTTCTCTGCCCAAATCTAGGGCATGGAAAATGCAGTAGAAGAATCTTCTCTTGACCAAAAGAATAGTTTAGTGTCCACAAATTACAGGGTGAGTTAGCTGCGTGTCTCTTGGTATTTCCGTACGGCATGCTAGCGACGTAGACCTTCCATCTTCTCTCCTGGTTGAGGCTTCTCTTCTTGATTTCTTCCTATCCTTCTACTTATCTCTGAAGTAGAGAAGCACTTCTGCTCCACAAGAAGAATTCAAGTCTGTAATCCCCTGGATGGGTACATATCCTGAGGGATGGGCACATTTCTGTGGCCCAAGATGACATAGCTTGGGGTTTCTTTTTCTCATAGTCAAAACTACCTTCATTTCAAGATTTTGAGCTATTTATATTCGACTGGAGCATACATATGTTTTTCTGTCTTTCTGAGTAATGTAGATTTATTTGTACATTCCAGAGGATAGCCTCTGTATATTCCAAATTTTTTTGTTTCTTTTTTTTTTTTTTTTTTCTTTGAATCTCGGTAAGACCTTCTTGACACTTACTCTCCGGGCCTCCCAGTATTCTGTGAGTGGTGCACATGGGTCAGTCAGGCTGCCCCTAATTCTCTGTATCTAATTGTTCCTTTTCTCTCCTGCCCCTCCCTCCCCATGGCTCCATCCTCTGCTACACAGAGGCTGCTTAAGGCTTTCCACCCAGTGGAGAGAGACAGAATACAGAATCTCCTAGGGTTATAAAAGATGCAATAAAAATTCAGGCTGCAAAAGCAAAGGGAACAATAGGAAAGCTCAAAATCAGGGAAAAAGAGGATGGAGATTTTACTTTATGTTGTTCTGTTTGTTTTTTAATCACTGAAAGAGGCATTTGCTCTCATTCTGCGTCAGGGTAAAATTTCTATCTGATTTTCCCCCGGGCCTTGTCACACACTTTTGCGCTACTGTCTCCCACCTGTCCTCATGTAGAACAGACCACACTCAAAAAATGCCCATTCGACTTCATGCGATCTAAGAAAACAGAGAGGATTCCAGCATCAGGGAAAAGCATTTTGAATTATCAAATGGTTTTGGAGCGGGGTCCATGTTCCCATTTTTTAAGTGTGAATTGCAGACTGATGTGCGTTTGTCACTAGGACTACTAGGGTAGTCTGTTACTAGTCGTAGTAAGTTACCAAATACAAGACACAATATCAGAAATTTTCATTTCAGATAACAAATATTTTATTAAGTATAAGTATGTCCCAAATATTGTGTGGGGTACACTTACCCTGAAAAATCTGACATTTAAATTTAACTAAGCATCTGTATTTTATCAGGCTACCTAATGTATTTGTCATCTGAAACTTTGTTTCCAGATTTGAATATGTTGAGTTTCTTCCACTTTTTATAAAGCCTATTCACGCTAATTGTCTAAAATCTGTTTGTTTAACAACATGGAGAATCATCTTGAAAGGAGTACATTTCAGCCTGAGGATCGACCACAACTGTGCTGGTGTCTTGCTTGTGATGGGTGTCTGTGTAGTGGATCTTCCTTTTATCTTTGCTTCTCTTTTATGGCCTGGCTGCTCCTGGCTTTTGCAGAGCCAAGGTCCAAAGTCCTCAACATCCCATTCTAGTCGGATATTTTACTATCAAAATCCCACTTCACCAAGCGGGCTTTGCCCAGTGGCTAGAGACGTAGCCTAGAAGAGCCCTTGTGTATACTAGCTGTTTTTAATCTTTGCTGCTCAGTGCCTGGGAAGGCAATCACTCACATATCAAGAAAGAAAAGTGGAATTAACCTCTTGGTTACATACTTGGTACTGGGCCCCTATTCTGATAGCTTATACGATGGGATATGCCATAATTTGGAAATAATACATGCGGTTTTATTTTCTCTTGGTTCAAGTGCATCGTTTAATGAAAGAACAACATAAAATGTATATCCTTGATATTAAAGGAGAAAACAAATTCTGACTTGGGGCACAATTACCCATGTGCATAATATGATTCAGTGTTTCTCTTCTTGCTTATAAAATATTTCTATTTCTTTGCAGCAATTTGGTAAAATCTTAGATGTTGAAATTATTTTTAATGAGCGAGGCTCAAAGGTAAGCAACTTCATTCACTTTAGAATTGTTTAGCTTATGTTGAAATGCTTGTTATAAATACGGGGAAACAACTGCACTGTTTTAATCAGTACGTTGTGAAAATACACTTCCGTGGGAATTCCTTTAGGGACCACCTCCCGTTTCCAAAATGGTGGGGACTACATTGGATTCAGTTTAAAATGTATGAGGGGGTAATTTTAAATTGCTGTTTTATATATATCTGTAGATGTCTATATATCAATTTTCCAGAGGAAAACTACCCATGCTTAAAAAAATAATGTTGTTGCTACATTTTTGTTTTTCAGTGATAATTATGTTCTTTATATTAAAAAGTGAGTTGATAGTCTCATGAGCAGGTAAATATGTGATTATTCTGTATTAATAAAGTGCAGTTCTTTTCCTGGGTTGTAGGGGAGAAAATCTCATATACACCAACCTTTTGAATAAAACTTGATCCATTAGTCTGTGTACCCACCCACATTTTGCAATTTGCCGTTGCTTTTAGTTAGCTTTTTTTTTTTTTTTTTTCCTGGAAAACCAATTTTTAAGTAGATTTTCTTAGAGCTCACAGTGTTAGTAAAAATCAGAGGTTATGTGGTCAAACTCCAGCAACTTCAAAATGGAAATAGGTTGGTAGAAAAAACAAAAGCCCAACTCTTCCAAAACATCTTCTGTATCAGTGGTCATCTAAGAGCAGTATCCAGACGGGCAGCATCAGCACGACCTGGGAATTTAGAAATGCAGATTCTCAGGGTCCAACCCAGACCTTATTGAATCAGATCCTCAGAAATTGGGGCCCAGCAATCTGTGTTTTAACAAACCTACCAGGGCTGTGGTTAAACTGATAAAACCCGTGTCTTCCTGTTTTTGACACGCACCCTCGCTTCGTTTGAATGCACACTAGCCCTTCGCCCCCTGTGGGGCTTCGAGGTTGCTAAAGCATCCTCCTTGTACCTGCATTGACGGAAAATGCAAGAGAGCCATCAGAATCTCCCTGGAGGAAAGCAGTGCATTTGGCAGAGCAGCAGCAGATACTGTGGTAACAGGGAAGGATGCTGGAAAAGACTTGGATATTGACATCAGGAACTGGAACGTGAACACGTTCAATAACTCTGCCTGGTTTCCGGTCCACCAGGAATGTTCAGCTGCCTTCACATCCCCAGACTGTGAAAGTGGGGATGGAGTGAAGTTGATTACCAAGCACAGAGAGATCCCGGGTTCAGCCCCAGAGCTTTTCGTACACAGGCAATTTGGGACAAGCCAGCATCCAGGAAGGTTACTAAGAACAGGTTTTACCTAAGGGGGCAAGAGCCAGTCTCCTGGGTATAGTAACCATTTCCTCCCCACAAAGCAATCCTTTATTATTCCTCGGACAGTCTGTACCCTCTCCGTCCTAAACAGGTTTAGTATTAACCTAATAGGATAATGCTGATTGAATTGAAGAAAGAAAATGCCAGTATTCTCTTTTCCACAGTCAAAATGGTGCTGTGATATGCCAGATGAGTGTAAAAAAAAAAAAAAAAAGAAAAATCAATTCATTATACTCTCTGGTTTTGCTACTTTAGGGAGCTCATCATTGTGTAATTTCAGATGTCTTACAGTCATCCTTGTAATATGTCAGTAGTTTGACCTCCAGGCTGGGGGAAAAATAAGCTAACTCTCTTTCTGCTCTGGTATGAAAAACATTACAGGTACTATTTCTATATGTGCAAAGTCAAGTGCATTAAGAGAAAAATGTGCCTGATCCCTTTCACTCAGGACTGATGTATTCTGGGCAAAGTTACAGAAGATGTTGGCCAACTTTCTTCTAATCCCGAGTCCTAGCACTGCTGCCTTTAAAGGTTTTTTTTTTTTTTATTTATATTCCATGTGTACTTTGTTTTGTAACTTTTGCAAGTTGGAGGAAGCTATTTAATTTTTTTCGAGAGCTGTTTAAGGACATTAGAAGAATATCATTTGCTATTTTGAAAGGACAATGGTGGTGCTATTTTTAAGACTTCTTCCCTCATTCTCGTGATTAGCCTGTCTCTAGGGCTTTAGGAATAAGACCATTTAAATTTGCTGCATCGAGAGATTGATTTTGTGAAGCTGTGAAGCCTTTTTTTTTTTTTTTGATTAAGAACCATCAAAAATAGCCTCTCTCAGTGGGTTTGCTCCCTCTGAAAGAACTGGTCTTGCAGGTGTGGCAGCTGACTGGTACCACTGGAATGTCATGGAGACAGCCCAGTTGGGAACTGCTGAATGAAGGAAACAGCTCACACAGGGATATCTTTCTTTCGTACTTGAAGTTATCCTTTATGGGAAAAGGTCTTATTTAAAGGAACATTGCCACTTTAATGGTCGAGAAACCTGAACTGTTGGTATGACCTGATTTTCATCCTTTGGTATTGGAGAAGTGACCAGTAAATGCAGGAGAGCTTACAAGCTAGGAGCTGACCTTCTGGCCATCGTCTTTGGGGACCTTCCCAAGACAGCAACTCAGTGCTCAATGAGGGTGGCTCAATGTGGGTGTTTGTTGTGTGTGTGTGTGTGCGTGCGCCTGTGCATATACACCTATATACACACAGCAGTATCTATGTCATCCTGGGGATGTATAATGTACAAGTTCATGTATAGAAGGATAGCAAGTAAACAAGGAAATCACCTTCAGAAAAGATCTGCCAGACTTGGAAAATGGAATGAGATAGCATTTCAGGGTGAGAGATACTATCATTCATTTGTCCTTTTCGGAGATTTAAAAATGTTGTGTTTACCTCTGAAACATTTTATTTGGGGGGTGCAGCCAGAGATAGCTACTCTTTCATAGACCTAGGAAATGCAGTCTGCTCTTTGATTCAGTGATGTCTATAGTATTGGTTGCATTCCAGTACAAGATTGGTGAATCGGATGTGAGCGAGACAGAAGTGCTTCCTGTTCTCACAGACTTTCCAGAGTAGCCTGAGAGACGGATCCTTAAGACAAACAAATGCAATAGAGTTTGCTGTGTTCTCAGCGAAGAAGAGACTGCTGAGACTCCAAGCAGGCAGAGCAATCTTGTTGGAAGCTGGGAGGGCTTCTGGGAGGAGTGGCATTTAAGCTGCGAGAAAAAGATGAGTCAGGGTTTCCCAGGGAAGGGAAGGAGGGAAGATGGTCTTCCAGGGAGAAGGGTCAGCATGTGAAAAGGCGATTGGGAACAAGTGGGTCGTAAAGCCCTTAGTCCCACAGGAAAATGAGCCTCCAGACCCTTATCAACAGCTCTCCTCTTCTAGGTGATAGTTCTCTGCACCAGAAACTAGTGGAATCAGATTTTCACGTAAGATGAAAAGTCAGCGCACACATCCATCCCAGATACTTCAGAGCCTTTATTTCAGCTATAAAATATTGTATTTGTGTTACTACAAAAAGGGAAGCTATCGCCTAAATATATCCCACAAGACTAAAGTAGAAAAATAACTGGGATACGGGAAGATCAGAATTTATGGTTCACAAAAAGATTTAAAAGTAAGCAAGTCACGGCTGGTCCACGTTAGGGTCGCCATTATCTGCCTAGGGGTCATGCCTTCCCATCATAGGGCACAAATATCCCAGATTCTCTTCTCCTGAAGGATTGCACCTTCTCTTAGCTCCCCTTTCTCTGTTAAGGTAAACCCTGGGAAGCAGTGTCTCTCCTCCAGCACTTAGGGAGCATCTGACTCCCCCCATGCAGCCCCTCCTGCACCCTTGATCTTTACAGGGTTATTGCATTGCACTCAGTTCCTTCCTGTGCTCACCAGGCCAAGTCCAGAAGGTGCTTCTTTTGATCCCCTTTTTAAGACTGAGATAAAAATATTCAAAATATTTTAAGAATATTCTGCAAGTTACATTTTGCTTAAGATAGAATTCTGACCACGAGGCAGGTCAAAAGAAACAGCACCTGTGCTTGATGGAGAGGGTGCCTGAAAATGGCCAGCTGGTGGTCTCTGGTTAATGGTGTAGCTCCCCAGATGAGAATCTGGCCATCTTCTGACCCAGGGACATCATAGCACTTCTTACCTGGGTGGGAGGTAGGATTGTCCAATGGCACACGTAGGAGAATCCCTTTGGTATTTGGGGGACTGAGTCTGGAGCAAGGTCTTCATGAACCCAGCTTTGCCAGATCTCAACTAGGCATCTCAGCAGGTTGAAATGAGCCACTCAAAAAAAAAAAAAAAAGTTTAGCAGAAAATAATGAGAGTAAAAATAATAATAAAGAGAATCAATATATTTTTTTTACTTCAAAGGAAAGTGAAAATGGAGTAGAATTCCTTTTTAGTTTATGAACTTGGGGTTCAGAATAAAATTTTATCTTCACTTTCACCTCTCCCTGACATACATGATGCAGATTTTAGGCCAGTATGGTTTGCTCTGGGCTCAGACCAGAATCACAATGACTTGATTCGTTGGGATCGCGTTAGACAGGTGGGTGGCATGTTCGACTTTCTCCTGCCTATGTTCCCTCCAGCACTGCGGTGACATCGATGTTAGTGCCTGTCGACCACAATGATGCCACCAAGCCCTCCATCGATAAATCACATCGGACTGTGGATTTCCTTTCCTTGCCAAGTGAAAGAAGTGCCCCAGATAGAGCCGGAGTCCTAGTTTCCCTAATTACTTATTAAATGTATGGCATGGCTATGGATGCTAGAGCACTGGGCTTAGAGGTCAGGAAGAGAACATTCCTGTGTGATTTTGGCTGACCCCTAGGTTTAAGACACGAATCACCAAGTCAGATAGATATTCATCTCAGAAACTCACTCCACTCCCTAAATTGCTCTATAGAAACTGGCAATGTAATATTCTACCTCATTCAAAGAACTGAATCCTTTCGATAGTGCTTAGTGGTATGAGAGGCCATGGAAACCCAATTGCTGGGCCACATAGGTAACTTTTCCGGCAGACTTCTGGGCTCCACTCTGGGATTCTGATCCGATAGATATGGGTCAGGGCTCAGGAATCTGAACGTTTAATATGCTCTCCAGTTCCTTCTGATGTACAGCTAAGTGTGGGACCCACTGGCTAAGAGTCAGAGCCATCAAATAGAGTGACCCCCTCCCCCAAATTCTGTCTTTTGCCTGTTGAAGAGCTATTATTTCAAAACTAATTGGCACGTATCTTTGAGTACCAAATGTGGGCATCCTACCAGTGATGTACAGAACTAAGTAGCGTCCTGCTAAGCATGTAACCTTATTAGGTTAATCAAATAGTTCAGACCTACCCTAATCATGGACCCTCACTGTGGGAAATATGAAGGGTAATTCAGCCCAATTCCCCAAGTGAAAATTTTTTTTCTCTATCAGATAATTACCTAATCTAGCTTGAAGACATCCACAGCTAGTTTCCTTTATGCATGAGCCCATCTTAATATTGGAAAGTTCTCTCTTAGTTAAAGCACTGGGTAACAGCTCTCTAAATACCCTGAGTTTCGGACATCCCTTTAGCAGTCTAATGAGGATCTGAGAGTTAACAGTTAATGACTAGCTGTGATTTGTAATGATGGTCTAATTTATTAGTGGGACAGACTGTCCTACTGCCCCAGCTAAGCTTAAAGCTAGCGTTTTTCCTTTATGTAAAGATTACCGAACACAAAGAGGAGTCCTGGCACATTGCATTATTTCACCCAGTTTACACTGTGAAGACTAGAACGAGCTGGGCATATTTGCACTGGAATTGTTTCAAACGGTTGGTGTATATTTCTGAACAAGATGTACAAATATTTTTAGGGGTTTTAAAAATAATGTGTCATATTTTCTGTACTCTTCTTAGGAACAGTGTCAGTGAAGAAAAAGGATGGATTTTTAACAATGCGATGTTTGGGGGTTTTTTTTTTGAGGCTGAAATATTAAACAAAATATGCCAGTGGTGCAGAAAAGGGTATATTTGTTATTGACCAATAAAAGTTCCCAGAGTGTTATTATAAATAACATTCTATGAAAGGGGCTTCTTTATTTTCTACCGGTTGATTTGATAAATGAATACCAGCATAATGTCTTAGGACTTTACCATATGAATACACATTTCCCTTTTGGGTTAATAAAGTAGTCGGGAAAGTTGACAAATTCCGAAGCATGTATATTATTTGCAGGGTCAGAGGGGAAGTATAAATACAAAAATGTTACTTGAACTGTTTGCATTATTAATCAATTGATGTTTATTTCTATTCATTTCATGGGATTATTTTGCTTATTAGATCAGAGTTTAAGATTTATTATAAAAAAAGGTCTTTCCTTTTTTTTAGGCTTTTAATTTTTATTTTTTGAGACATAAAGCCTGTAGAATTGACAAATTTGAATAACCCTAAAACTGCATGGAGAAGAGATGGTCTTAAAACCACACAGCATGACTCTGTAGGCAATGTTAGAAGATTCTGGCATTCATTGTTGAATTTTGTGCACACGTTTTCTTTTCTTTTCTTCTTAATTTGCATGTCAAGAAAGTGGTTCCCTTTTTTTTCCTCGTTATTTCATTTTCTTCTCTGTGAAGACACTGTACATTTATTTTGATCTCATTTTCTTTCCGTTAGATTTCTTTTCTTCTGTAGTGACATTTAGAAAGGTATTTCTGGTATCATTCTTTGAATTCTTCAGGGGTGACAGCTAACGGGTGACAGAAAACAAAAATCTTGTTCACATTTGTCGCTTACTTATTGCACATTTTAGTACTCTTATAATTTCTCTAATTTGCATGTTACAGAACTGAAGCCAGGACAAGAAATAGAAATTAAAGCGAGAGAACGTTCCACAGTGGTCGTTGACTGAAAATAATAATCTGCATGTTGTTTTCCCTTCTCCCTCCTGCATGCAGGGATTTGGTTTCGTAACTTTCGAAAATAGTGCCGATGCGGACAGGGCGAGGGAGAAATTACACGGCACCGTGGTAGAGGGCCGTAAAATCGAGGTGCATGTCCAAAATATTTTCCTTTTCATCTTTTTGATAAGTGTCTGCTTCATGCTCATTTGTTGTTTCAGATGCATCATTGTGTCTTGTATGTGACCCTACTCCCTTCTCATTGTTTATATATATATATATTTATATATAAAAAGGAAAACTGGCCTTACTTTTTTTTAAATTTTCCTTTATTATGTTACTCTTATTACTGCTGAAAGGTGGATGGCAAAAGTGAGACAAAAGAAAGGTTAATCTGAAAGGGATTTTTTAATTATTTTATTTTTCATGTCTTATAACCAATGGGTGCAGTAGATTCCAAGCAGTGGAGAGAGTGTTGCCAAACAAAACAAAATACAGAGCAGTTTCTTTTTTTTTTTTTCCTTTTCTTTTTCTTTCCACTACAGGGTTGATGAGGGATCCACAGTGGTGTGCAAATTAAGCCAAATTGTGAAAGAAATGGCGTTCAAGAGAACGATTGTTTGGGAAAAAAAAAAAAAAAAGTGAGAGGTTTTTGTCATGAAACCTTTCTTTTTTTTGTTGTTGTTTTTTTAAGAAGCCAGTTTGAACTTTATATTCTTTTGATCACAAAGTGAATAACCAAACAGGATTTCCTGTTCAATATCTGGCCGTTCTTCATGGAAAAAAATAAACGCTAAAATTCCGATACTCAGAATCTGCTCTTTCTACCACTGACTCTCCCTCAAAATGACCACAGGGTCGTATTTGTTAAAACTTAAAAAAAAAAAGAAAAAATACCAGTTAAAAATGCTTTAGTCTTTGGAGTAAGATGTTGCATATTTTGCCTTTCATTTCCTCCCACCCTCGACGATAACCCTTAGGCCCCTCACCAAACTCTCAGTAACCATGGTAACTGTATACAAACTCATGCTGGCGATGGTGGTGAATGGTAAGTGGTGAAATCCATCTGCCGTTTCACGTATTTAGTGCTGATATATCTCTATACATATATATACCACGTGAATTTTTTTGACTTGTTGTATTAAGTTTTCTTGATGCTCTATTTTTTTGGATATTGGTACGCCTGTAACTGAGTGTACGTTCTAAGCTAGCCTGGGAGGCACTGACTGGATTGAGATATGACCAGTGCACATCTTACTCAGATCGTTAACTCCATATTGTGTTAAACAATGCACCCTCTCTTTTATCCTTTTGTTAGCTGTGACTTTAAAGCTTGAATGATTTTGTTAATTCTTGCGATGTAAAAGGCTCTTGTTCCAAGTGTTGAATGCTAGATGTTGCTTCCCGATGGTTCTTCCCTCGTAAAGTGTTGCATACGGCTAAAACTTGTTTGTCCTTTTTTTTGACATTTGTGTTCCCTTGTACCTTGTCTCTCCCCTCTTCTATTCCACTGCATGTTCCTTCATGTGAACCTTATTTTATGTTTAAAAAATATTTATCGTTTCTGTGTTACCATGGAGTACACGCATGCTTTTCAGTCTTCAGTTATGCAGTTCCTTTTAATTTGCTTTTACTGTCTCCTTATTTAAACTTTTAAATGATATGACATTGCTTTATTGAAATGATTTGTTAAGTTAAAATGGTTATGAAGTAAATGTAATTATAAAAATGTATGATTTTGTTATGCACCTACTGCCTTTTATAAATTAAAATGCATTTAAGTTTTTGGTGTTTTTTTTTTTAATAAGTAATCACAGTCATAATGCATGCAACTAATTGAACTGTGGACTGGCCCTGGAATATGTGCTTATTTGAGTTTTCTATGTACATAGGTAAATAATGCCACAGCACGTGTAATGACAAATAAAAAGACTGTCAACCCTTACACAAATGGTAAGTAGAGATTGGCCTTTTACAAGAAATTGTCTCTACCTCAGAATCTATTAAGTAATTTAACTGGGGAATCTGTTTCAACAAGCCATATTTGCCTCAGCATGGCTACTGTGTCCTTGCTGCTGACCTGCTACAGTGAACCACTTGAATCAATAAGATAAATTTCATGACAAAGGCAAATTTAGTTCTCAGGTTAAGAGTGCATGTCCTTCTTTCAGTCTCTCTATAATAACTCCCATGTGAGTGAGATACAGTACTTATTTGGGAATTACTTGGGTAATTTAATTTATTGTTATTAGAGTTAGTTGAAGGAGGGTGGAAGTTTTGTTTGTTTCTTTTTTTCATCACCACCTCCTCACTGATCACTAATCATCCCCAGAAGTGGGACTGCAGAATTTGGTTCTGGCTTTGAATCTTCTCTGGAGCTATTAGGCTTTTAAAGTGCCTTAGAGGGTCCCTCATGACCAGTTCCATAGTGAGAACTGGTTGCCCACCAGTGGCATTTGGGGGCAGGTGAGGGTGTTGCTGTGTATTGCAGACCCCTTCAGGACAAGGCATTTCTGCCCTTGCTCTAGAAGAAGACATCTCAAGACGCTTCATAATAAGGATTTAATATGTATGAAGAGTTATTTAAAATGTTCACACATTTTGATTCTTTAATCCTTCTCAGAAAAAATGTCTCCTAAGATATATGGGGGGAGGGTGGCTGCTGATATGCTAATCACATACTTAATTGTACCAGAATTAGAAAGAATGTAATGTAGTAAGTTAAAGTTAGAGCTTAGTGGAATATTATAGTCATTAAAATGAGTAGGATGAAGACTACAAAGGGCCTCATAATGAATTACAAAATTTAAAATAAGAAAATTATATGTATAGCATGATTTGAATTAAGGTAAGCATTACACCAAAATGTTAATGGTTGAGTTGAATTGTGAGACTGGAAGATATTTTTTGGTTTATAGATATTAAAAAAACAACAATTTTATTACAGTCTTAAGGAAAGATTTATGGAATTTTCCATTTTTAACATTTTAATTACACACGAAGCATGGACATACAGACATTAAAAAAGGAAAAGAAAGAGAGAGAGGGAGAGAGGAAGGAAGGAAGGAAGGAAGGGAGGAAAAAGGGGGGAAAGATAAGGCTAAAATATATTTTGAATGACACTACTGCCACCTTGGTTTCCCAGCTACCTCCTCAGAAGGTACCACTGTTACAGATTATTGTCTGTACCTTTATTTTGTACTTTCTTGTATATATATGTAGTCAGTATGTATTTATAACATTCACAGTAGTGTGTGCATGCTTTTTATGTGAACATGGTGTACATATCACTTCTAATTGGCTTTTATAAGTCATATGGAGTTCTTTCAATGTTAATACATACAGACTACATTCATTCTTTTTAATGGTTACATAATATGCCATAAAATGAATATATGGGTTTATTCCCACCTCACGTACTGATTGACATTTCTTTTTCTGTTATAAACAATACGACAAGCATTTGGTAGTTTTGTTTTTGTTTTTCTTCTTTCTTGTGCAAATGGCTACCAGTTAGGCTAAGCCAGTTTGTTCTTATTTTTAAAAGGGGCAAAATTAAACAGAAATATACCCTCAATATAATAGGAGTCTAAGGAGAAAGACCAGAAGAATTATTTATTCTGCTGATCCATTTTCCCAGCTCCAACAACCCAAGACATAACCTTAAATGGTATAGAAAATTTTTGCAACAGAGTTTGAATGCCCAGTGATGAAATGAAGCAAACCGCTGAGTTACATGTCACGAAGACTTTCTACTTGGGTAAAAATGATAGCTCTGCAACTTGCCAGAGCTAGTACACAATGACACCAACATGACTACTGGGCACTTTCTTTAATTATGAAGTAGCAATTGTGTGTGTGCGTGTGTGTGTGTGTGTGTGTGTGTGTGTGTGTGTGTGTTTGCACCACACATGCTTTCATGCATATGCATAGATGTTCATATCTGCTGCTTATGTGAGAAAATAAAGCAAGGGAAGCCAAATATTATTCTTTAAACCATATGTAGGCATATTTATTTTAAAGAAAGTGCTATTGATCAATGACATACCCAGGGGCTGAAAACTGGACCTGTGGGCCTTGGAGACACAATTCAAAGCCTGTTTATTAATAGCCAACATCTCTGGAACACTGAGTGTATGGCATTACGTTAAGCATTTTAGATGCACTGGGTCCACATGAAGCCCTATAAAGAAGACACAGTTTTCCTGTGGTAAAGCTGTAAAATTTGAGGCTAGAGGAGACGGAGTGATTAGTGAAGCCTTTTTTTTTTATTATGAAATAACAAAACCTTGTGGCCATGCCCATGTGTTATGAGTGCATCGCTTTCCCCTGTCATCTTACAGAACTGCACTCAAGCAACCAGCTACAGGAACAGAAAGATTATTAAAGGTGCAGCCCCAAATTCCCAGTTTGGTATGTTGGCATAAACATCCCACATCCCATTCCAGGGAACCATGCATTCTTAGTTTCCAGAAATGTCATATGGGTCTCTAATCTGTGTACCCAAAAGGGGGTACTCAGGGGCTTATCCTGTCACATGGACTGAGGATGGTACCTAAGGGGTAGATGGGCAGTCACAGTAGAACTGACTTAAAAAAAAAAAAAGGCAGATCCTAACTACATAAAGATGATTGGTTTCTGTAGAGGAGATGGTGGAGAATTTTGGTATTCAAGAAAAGTAGTTTTCAAAGCTTTTTCAATCCTTAATTCATGAGTACCATCACTACAAGTAAAATTTCCCATAAAAGGCAATCCAACGTAACTGAAAAGATATGGGGCCCTCTCAGATCCTTAACAAGCATGACTGTGTTAATAGAGGATATTATCACTACCAAAAAGAAAAAAAAAAAGAAAGAACAAAAAAAGAAAGTGGTAGCTATGTGAGATGATGGATATGTTAATTAGCTGGATTGTGGCAAAAATTTTACAGTGTGTATGTATATCAAATCAACAACTGGTACACCTTCAATCCTTTAATATAGACAAACGTAGTTATCAGTTATACCTCGATCAAGCCAGGAAAAAAAAGAGAAGTGAGGACAAATAAAGTCACATGGAAATGAGAAAATTGATTGGTGAGATTCATTCATTAGCTACCTCAGTCATTCTCACAAACCATCAAACTTAGGCTTCAGCAAAATTATGCATCACTAGAGTCATCAAATTTTGAGATCACCTTCACATGGAAAAATATAGCTCTCCATGCCAGCATCACATTCATGCACTCCTTCAGTCTTGTCAGTCATCCAACAAAACTTTAAGCAACTGCCAAGTTTCTGATAATGAATGGGACAGGACCCTAACCGCCATAAGACACGAGGTTAGGAGGCTCTGCTATAGAGGACCAAAGTTAATGAAATCATGGAGGATGTGGATTCCGTTACCCAGGACATTTGAACTTGGCAATAAGAGAAGACTGTAGAATGACATATAGGGATCTGGAAACCCGCCCCATCAGGAAGCTCCACAAAGAGGGAATTGGGTGGGCTTCTGTACTGCTGATTTTTCCTGAGGACACCAACCGTCAGAGAAGAGTTAAGCTTTACTGAGCTCATTGGAGATCAAATGTTTCGTCTGTAAAACAAGTTGAGAATCAGATCCTCAGGAACTTCTTGGATGTTGGAGAAGCATGGGCGTTGGATGTAGCTCTTTTATTTTCTCCGAGATCTTAGGAAGGATGAAAACGGGACAAAAAGACCCAAGACTATATGGAGAGGTAGACTTGGCATCATACCTGCCTTTCACTGGCTATTGAACTGCAGGCAGGCTGTTGAAACCCTCCACATAACAGCTTTCCCAAGTGGGACCTGAGAAATGGGACCTACTATATAGGGTATTTGTGATTATTATGGGAGATAAAATACTCAAAACAGTGGCAGGGGTACAAAGTCCCCTAAAAATTTAATTACACAATAATCTCAATAATAAGTTGCCATCCTGTTCTCTTTCTTTTTTTTCCCTGTAGATAGTAAGCTGAGTTTCCTGATAGACATACTAACTTAAGGATCAAACATTCAGATGCTAACAGAAGCTGGCTAGGTCAAATAAATAAGTAAGCAGAGAGGGTCTGAGAAACTTGTGGCCTTTTGGGACTCTCTTTCATTTTCATACTGGGAAAAGCAAAGTATGTCTCTTCTAGAAGAAAAAAACAGCACAGGGTAACAATAAAAGATTGCTGACCTTTGGCCTCCAAGCCCAGCATGTAATAGGGAGTAGACAAACTGGGGGGTTAAGTGGGGTGGTCCCTCATCACCCCCAGCAAATTGGTCCATCGGGGATTCTTAATCTAAAGTTGCTATTTCTGCTGTGTTTGAAGAGAAACAGAAATCCTGTATAGACGAAATTTAAATGTTGACAATAAATATGTGTTGCAAAAAAAAAAAGGTTACTGAGTGAACCAGATGCAATGTGCAACTGACTTTTCATTTTGGGCATTGCCGTCTGCACCATTTCAAATACCAGATCCCTGGCATCCTCAGGTCATGTCTTTTGAAAACCTCGGTATGCAGTTTTGGAAACCCCAGACATTTTTTTTTTTAACATCTTTATTGGAGTAAAATTACTTTTCAGTGTTGTGTTAGTTTCTGCTGTATAACAAAGTGAGTCAGCTATATATGCATAGGTATATCCCCATATCCCCTCCCTCTTGCGTCTCCCTCCCACCCTCCCTACCCCACCCCTCTAGGGGGCCACAAAGCACTGAGCTGATCTCCCTGTGCTATGCAGCTGCTTCCCACTAGCTAGCTATTTTACATTTGGTAGTGTATATATGTCCATGCCACTCTCTCACTTCATCCCAATTTACCCTTCCCCTTCCCCGTGTCCTCAGGTCCATTCTCTCTGTCTGTGTCTTTATTCCTGTCTGGCCCCTGGGTTCATCAGAACCTTTTTTTTTTTTTTTTTTTTTTTTTTT